CCAAAGCCTGAAGTTTTCAATTCTTGGAACCTTTAGCCAGAGAACCCCAACTTCCCCAAACGCCCAACTTCCCCTAAACCTTAAACCCTAAACATCCCTAAACCCTAAGCCCTAAACCCAAAACCCTCAACTTTTCAAACAAACATCCCTAAACCCTAAACCCTCAAGCCCAGGATAAATAGAAATTGTTCGTTCTAACGTGCATGGCCATACAGATTTCTGTGTATTTACTTTGTTTTCAAAGTGTTTGACGGACCGAACAGAAGCACAAAGACGAACATTCCGGAAACAAATGTGTCCCGAGAACCTCCCAAATTGCAAAAAAAAATCCAAATGTTCGTGATTTTTTGAGCATTTTTGGGCCTCCCAAGAACCTCCAAAATTGATCCGCCCAAAGCCGCATAATCAAGCGAGCAGAAGCCAAAAGCAACACCCGCACAAAACCCGGTCAAAACTCGGGACCTGAACCCCTGAACAATTTCTATAAACCCCAAAATTCTAAGCCTAAAATCCTAAGCCCTAAACCCTACATCCTAGAACAATTTCTATATACTATAAACCCCAAATTCTAAAACCATAGTCCTAAGCCCGAAACCCTACAGCCTAGGTGCAGCAGCATGATCGCCTGCTGCCCCTGCTCCGATGCGAGTCGCGGCTGGAGGAGATGTCCTACATACAACTCGAGGGCTTGACTCAGTGAGGCCTCTTCTCTCTGGTGCTTAGTAGGGAATGGGGGGATGGGTTATAGGGACTACTATAAGGGACCTTAAGGAACTATCATAGGGATCCATTCCCCCATTCCCTACTAAGCACCAGACAGTTTTGGGAGGATGCCTGGATTTCTTCTAAGGACTTTAGGAGGGACCCCTAATAGGGACCCTTAATCCCTTGTATAGCCAGGTAGTCTCCATATTAACCCCAGTAACCTACAAGGGACCCTATTAAGGGTCCCTCCTAACGCCCTTAGAATTCTGGGTTTTTCTCATCCTCCTTCTGAGGCCACAGGTACAGACTATGATCCCAGGCTTCAAAGGGGAGAGATCCCTGACTTTATTTCATCCCTCAGCTTTAGTCGCAGAAGCAGGGTGCAACGAATCGCTTAGGAGCCCCTTTTCAGAAGCCCTGGACGAATCTGCATGCGCCTTCCGCGCGTTGCCGCATTTTCGGCGAGTTCTCAAAGGGAACTCGTTTCTCCAGATGACCATCGCTCCTCCTAAAGGCTTCTTCTGCCAAGCTGGGATAATGCCGGCTATGGCACCAGACCACGTCAATGTCCTGCACTTCAAAAAATGCGGATTTGGGCTCTTCAGCGTGCTTACATTAAACCCTAAACCCTGAAACCCAGTGGCTTCGAGCTTCAGGCTGTCTGTGATGCGCAGCTTGCACTCATGGTACCCTAAACCCTAAACCCTAAACCCTAAACCTTACACCCGAAACCCTAAACCTTAAACCCTAAGCCCTAAACCCTAAACCTTGCGTTACCCCCGAAAAGAAAACCTGAAACCCGAATCCGCAGCCTCGACCTGATCCCGAACATCCCGTTTACCCAGAGAGTCCAATACCCTTAATTAAGGAATAGATCTTAAAATATAGGGTTTAGGGTTTAGGGTTTAGGGGGCCTTCATATTATGATTTAAGGTGTATTCCTTAACTAAGGGGTATTGGGTTCTCTGGGTACAGGATAATTTCAAGTAGGTCCTAAACCTAGTAACCGGGAGTTCAACAAGCTCTCAAGTTCTTTTTCCCTCTCATGAAAGAGCGGAGTTTTGGGCTTAATGTTTCGGGTGTTGATGGAGGCCTAATACTTTCGAGAAGGAACTCTCATGTAGAGCCCTAAACCCTAAACCCTAAACCACCGCCGCAGTCGCCCAGGACCCGCCCCAAGCTCGAAATCCTTTGCACCAGGCTCCGCAAAGCATGAAATCCCGAAATTTCAGACACCCTCAACACCGAATCCTAAACCCTGAATTCTTATAGTTTAGGGTTTAGGGTTTAGGATACCTTAAACGGTTTCGGATTTAGGGTTCCTGAAACAGTTTAGGGTTTAGGGTTCCTTTAACCCCAAAGTTTAGGCCCTAAGCCGTAAACCCTCGGCTGTAAATCCCAAATCTCCAAATCCTACGCGGCCGTGGGCTTAGCTGCCCGCGTTCGTTGAGGGGGGTTGCCACAATGGCTACTAAAGGGGGGATCCGGAAGAGGTTGCAGGGGCTTACGGTGGTGGGCTCGAAAATTCAGGGGTGACACACCATGCACACCGAGGGCCTCGTGGCATCCGGTTAATATGTGCTGCAGCTTTTGCGGGTCAAGCCGGTCATACTTGACATGTGCACTCAGTGTGCACTTGGACATACCGCAACATGCTTCAAGCTGCCATTCTAGGAGCATTTCTGCCCTCCACTTTACACTTCCGCTTTTCAAGCTTTGCTACAGTATCCCTGGTCTTCCTTCTCGGGCAGAGATGGCGGTGGCCACTCTGCGGCAGACCAGCCCGAAACCCCGAGCCCGCTCAAGCCTACAGTTAAACCCTAAACCCCAAACCCTTAAACCCTTAAATCCCTTAACGTTAACCTCCAAATCCGAAAAAACCTAAACCCTGGACCCTAAACCCTAAACCTCCAAATCGTCAGGTGCCCAAAAGCATTACAGCCGTAGCGTTTGAGTGCTGGGGCCAAGCTCTGCGCCCCAAGAAGATAAGGGTTTAGGGTTTAAGGGTTTATAAGGTTTAGGGTTGAGAGCTTAGGGCTTAGGGTTTTTGGGGTTTAGGGCATTTTCGTATCCAAAGATCTGACCCTTGCCCCAAAGAGCAAGGGTTCCCAATCTGAACATGTATGCTAATTAAACCCGACATTTTAAACACAAGCTAAATCTGCGGCATGAGCCCTGCAAGAGACTTCCGTGGATATGTGATGACTGCTTTAATTATGAACTCTAGACTCTTAACCCGAAGCCTTAAAGCCTAAACCCTAAACCCACAAGCCAAGACCGTACAGCCTAAACCGTACAACCCCAAAATTTCGTCTTTCCGGTTTCTTTAGGATTTGTGGTTCAAGTCGAGGGTTCAGGGTTTAGGCCGTCAGGGTTCCGGGATTCAGGTTTCAAGTTTAGGGTTTGTGCTTGATCTAGGGTTTTGTTCTTTTTTCTCCTGGATTCTGAAAGCTGGGTCCGTTTCGGGACAAGTAGTCGTGTATGGAGAAGCGATGGGAGTTTTCAAAGATTGAGGGAGCCTTATTAGGTACCAACTGGCAGGATATTATTCCCGAGCCCTAAACCCTAGACCCTAAACCCTGAACCCTAAACCCTAAACCCTAAGCCCTAAATCCGAAGCCTCAAAATCCTAATCTCTACCCTGAGGTTTGCTACAACACACACCGGAAACTTGTTGTAATTCTCCAGGCCCTGTGCTATACCCCCAGTGGCAGCTTATATGGACATGAGGGTCACTGCGCAGACAACCCAATACTCCTTCATTAAGGAATATATCTTGAAATATAGGGGCCTTCATATTATGACTTAAGGTATATTCCTTACAATTCCGGGTCATAAGGGTTTAGGGCTTCAGGACTAAGATCTGTTTCTCAATATTACGAGCCTCACCGGTTAGCAGTGGAGACCCGAGCGGTTTTCATACCCATCAGCGATGTGGACGGATATTAAATGTGAACATGAAGCTCTGCGCCCTAAACTCGAAACCTTAAGCCCTAAATTTCGAAAGAAACCCAACGCCCTAGACCAGAACCTGTATAGAAAGTCTGACAAAACCTTGCGATGCCCAATAAAAATCCATATAAGCCCTTAAAGCAACGGGCTTGCTCAAGGTGGATCAGCTGAGCGATTGGAGTGGCTTCGTCAGCGCTGCCTACACCAAGGCCTCCTACAAAACTTTAGGGCGTTTATTCAAGGAATCGGTTTAGCATAACCTTATCCAGGGTGTTCAAAGCATTCCTGAACCCCAAATCACCTACGCTTTCGGGTCCTTCCAGTATGACTTCTTTATGTAAATCCTTACATAGGGCATGTTTGATCTTTTGTTTTTTAGTGCCAGATTTTCCTAAACTCGAAACTGCGGATTCTTGGGCCTTCTGGCTTCTGCCCAGTTGCCCCATGGGCCGGGCCTGCTGTAGGGGGTCTGAAGGGATTTAGGGTTCGGGGTTCCAAAGGTATACATGCATGTACACAGTCAACGGATGTATGAATGGATGCATGAATGAGTTGAATGAATGTGTGTATGTAGAATTGTGCATTGTACATATGTACATAACATATGTATGTACGAATGTATGTATGCGTGTAGGTACGTGTGTACCTATGAGCGCAGGAGACACCGCAATGCTACTTGCATTGACTGGTAGCAGCAGATCAGAGCCTCCGGCCACCCAGTCCACAGGGGCGCTCTGGCCCAATGCAGATATGTGCTGAGCCAGCTGAAGCAGCAAGGCTACGGGTAAGCATGCGAAGAACCAAATATGCCGGCTGGAAAACATGGCAGCGACGTAATACCCTATTTCATGTCACGACAGCTCGAGCCAGAGCCTTATACATACATAC